GTGAGGGGGTGTACTGCATCTCTGGACTCTTCATATTTCAGCCTGGCTCTCAGTTTTTTTTTAAATAATTTTTAAGTTTAGTTTAGTTTTCTGATTAATTAAAAAACATATTTTCATCTGTCGTTGTTTTTTCACCGTCAACTATAATTTAGCTTCATGTTTTTAGCAACTTACAGATAAAGTTTCTATGGTGTCTGGGCTAATTTTGACTTCTTTTTCACTGGATTATTACCCATTTCTTCTCTAGACTTTAGCTAATCCAAACTAACGTGATGTTGTTTTGTTTTTGTGATTATTTTCCACTAGATTTAAACATGTTTTTGAAAAAAATAAAAAGTGGTAAAAGTTCCCGTTAGAGTTCTCCTTAGTTTTGTGCTACCTGTTAGCATCCTCTTTTTAAATCTTAGCCAGAAAGAAAAAAACAGTCAGTATAATAAAAACATTTTTGTCACTGATTCTGATTCACCGACAGTCTGATCATTTTTTATTCATATTTATATTTTTTTGACTCAGAAACGTCTGATTGGCTCAGGCTGCGACTTTTATTCAAAGTTCTGTTCCACTCACTTGTCAACAGAGTCCGGCGTCTTCTTCAGAGGCGGCGGACGAAACTTGGTCTTCTTCGACGATGAGGGAGGATCTCTCTCCGCCGAGGGAGGAGGGGGAAGAGGGTCCAAAACTGAGGGGAGCGGAGGAGGAGGAGGTGGAGGAGGAGAACGAGGTCCGGCCTGGGAACAAAGATGGAGGAGCGTTTGAGAAGGTGGACGCGTCGAGTCTGAGGAGAGAGTGGACTCCTCCGTCCTCACCTCCCTGCTGTTGTCACTGCTGCTGTGCTCCTCTCTGTCCGTCTCCCTCTCCTGAGTCGCCTCCCTCCTCTCACCCTCGGTGATGACATCACTCTGCCTCTCTCTGACGTATCCGTCTCTCATGTTCTCCTCCTTGATGTCCAGACCCGTGATGTCCTCCTCTTTTTTCACTAGGACGGACAAAGATAGAAAAATAACTACAAAATATATGTCCACTAGGGGGCAGCTTCTCTGAAAATCACATTAAGACGTCCAAACAGAGGCAGGTTCAAACATTTCTGTTGTTTTTTTATGAGCACAAATGAACTACACTGCTCAACAGCGCCCCCATAATTTCCAGTGGTACTGCTCCTTTACATGTGTCTCAGGAAATGGTCCACATTAAACACACCAGTCAAACACAAGGCTCGTTAGCACAAACTAAATTTAATCCAGAAAGAGTTCCCCCCACAGCCAGTAGGGGGCTGCACATTGAGAGCAGCCGTACCTGTCGTGTTGCTCAGACAGGCGACCTCCGATGTCCCGTCCTCGTCCACCTGACCCTCCGCTTGATTCTCCCTCTTCACCTCCACCAGGGGCTCCACCTTCAGCCCCGCCCCGGGGGGGGGGGGGGCCGCCTCTGAACTCTGGCTCTGAACGGCAGACGTGGAGGATGATTGGTTGATCACGTCCGGGGCGGACGGAGCCCCGGCTGCAGGCGTCACAGATGTGACAGTGACGACGCCGGTGGCCAGTGCAACAGTCGGTGCAGGGTAGATGGCAGTTAGTACCTGCAGGGGGAGCAGGTGTGTCAGTCACCTGGGTGTCGTCACCGTGGAAACACAACAGTTTTTTTTTGTCCATTTACTTGGAGGTACTACACCTTCTGATAGTTTTGGATTGACACTGCAGTTCTCATTTCAAACACTAGAGGCAGTCTAACGGTGCAGGATGCCACCTTTAGGTATCTACGTGAAAGTTTTTGACTTGTGGGCCACATAAATGCTAAAATGCTTTTAGACCTTACTACACCACCTAGTGGAGAAATGCTGACATTGCAGGGGGAAAAGGGAGAATTATAATGATAATATAAATTAATAACATAATTTAGGGGGCCGGATTAAATGTCCAAAATATACTGCATCTGAATTAGACATAACAGACTTGGGTTTTTAATGAATTCAGTGTTAGTCAAACAGAGAGCACTTCATAAAACCAGGCCATTAAACCTGCGACATTTGTGCTGAAACATCAGAACTACGGAGTGACCTCGTCTACAGTCCTGTCTCTCTCTCTCTCTCTCTCTCTCTCTCTCACCTGACGCCCAGCAGCCGCTGCGCTCTGTCCTGGAGACATCTGCGATGGAGCGCTCAGAGGTGACGGGCCGACGATGGGCTGAACCAGGGTTTGCCCATTTGGGGCGATGGCAGTGAAGCCCAGTGTTGCCAAAGGTGACGGGAGGTACGTGGGGCCCTGAGTGGGTGTGGCTTGTTGGGGCGGTGCGGTCGTAACACCTGGACTGGACTGGACGTAGGTGATCCTGCAGCGGAGGACGGCAGAGAAGAAAAAAAAATTATAAATAAATAAATAAATCAGCACAAAAGGAGTGAGTTGAGAATGTGGACTAACCTGGCAGGGGTGGAGGTCAGCAGAACGTTCTGGGGAGGGGTCACCACCGTCGCCATGGAAACTGGGAAGGGGCTCCTGGGATGCACCGTGGCTGTGGCGCTGGGGTGGACGACGGGCATGGGAGCGATCTGGATGATCTAGGAGAAAAGAAGGAACTTTTCACATCACTTCAAGTTCTGGTTATTTGATTGGTCGATTCATTACAACTCCAATGTGTTTAAGTCCTGGGGGAATGAGTGTTTGGACGGGATCTGAACAAGTTTCCCGTCCTTCCTGACCCACATTCCCGCTCTACTCCTCCTCCAAAACATTTGACTTCCTGTCACGTTACCGTCAGTATCACAGTCACCACGAACACACGACGGTGAAACTTTTAATTTTCTTCAAACTAAACTGCGTCCGCGTCCACACGTCCGTACCTTGTTCCCCGTGGCGGGGCCGTTCTGCACAGGAAGGGGCGGAGCCACCAGGGAGATGGAAGGATGAGGAGAAGTAGACCCTGTTCTCACTGTTGCCATGGGAACCAACATCTTGCTCTGCAAGACCGGTGACTGGGTTTGGACTAATAAGTGAGAGAGGGAGAGAGAGAGGGAGAGAGAGAGAGAGGGAGAGAGACAATTACATCACTCAGTGTGAGGAAGAGGTGAAGTCAGCTAAAAACAAAGAGGAGGTGAAGCCAGGGGAGGAGCAGACAGGAGACTCCTGAACACTGAGTGACAGTCGAGTGGGCTCCACAGCTACACCCAGTGGCCACTTCAGTCATTTCACAAATATATATATTTTGTACTTTTAGTTAGTGACAGATGAGTCGACAGCGTAGCATGTTAGCAGTGCTAAGCTAACTGTAAAGGATGTTAGGGTGAGAAAAACCCTGACCCCCCCCCCCC